ACACAACTTAGAATTTCCCTCATTTAGAACGCAACTTAGCCTGACTCGCACACGACCAATATACTCAAGTAAATATTTTCTTATAGTCCATTCCTTTGTTAATTTTATTCTATATTTTAAAAAAATTGTTTCTATAATTACTTAAATATTTTAATAACTTATACATAATTGGAGACATAAAGTCTCCATAAAGTGAAAAAAATTAAAAGCTGCTTAATAGAATGTTTACACTATCGCAATTAACTCAACATATATATATCATTTTTCTTACAGAATTCGAACAAAATTATGTTAATGATTACAGATTAAGTAATGTTAAATATACTTTTTTTCTCTTCTGTAAAATCAGCAAAATATTACCTTTCTATGTGCATCCGAACCACATTATTGTTTGCAAGAGTCTTTATTATTATAAGAGATCTATTGTGCGCCCAAAAGGCCCAACTAAAACAATTCTAGAATATTTATTAATTCCGTAATTGCTGTGGGCTTAATTTTACCTATTTGATTTGGGACCAAGATCCCACTTCCAAGGTAGTCATGTCTACGACTTGCCGCCGCTGGACAGTTGCATAGAATATGTTTTGATGTTTCCTTCTTCTCATCACAGAGTCGACAGAAATTCCTTTCTACCGCACCTAAATTCTTCACGTGGTGATTGATAGATTTCAAAATTGTTTCTGCTGAGGTTAAGGATAGCGTCAATACAGATATGTTTTAAGAATTTTTAGATCGCAATGAGCATTTGTATTTGGCTGTATCACCCACAACGACCTAGCTAGACGCGTTAAAGTACAACTCATTTGAGTTCCTGGTCATAGGAACACATCGATTAATTGCAGGGTGAATGAGCTTGACAAGGCAGAGGCTCTTCTCCCTAAAATTCACTTCTCAGATATTGGCGTTCCACTTGCAACAGCTGAACTAGTGATTTAACTGACATTTGCTTAATCATTTGTCTAATTGTTTCGTGGAGGCTTTTTTGGACTTGTTTTAATAATAAGTGCTTATGGGCACAATAGACCAGATGGTCGCAGTGCTACATGCCCTAACAATAATAATAAGTGCTGCTTTGAATTCACATATGTCGACTCTGTCATGATCATTAATCAGAACGTAATAGTTTTTAAATGAAAGTCAATCTTAGGTTCGACTGAAACGCATTCTTTAGATTTTGAACTAAAATACACACATGACATAAAAATAAAAATATAAGTCTCACTAAAGAAGAATCGATAATTTTAATTGTTAATTTTTGTTAGAAGACCAAATATGATATAGAACAGAATCGTATGTATTCAAAACCACTAAATGAAAAAAAGCATTGGCTTCCAAATAACTGTGGAAGAGATTCTAAACAGGATCATAGAGGAATTCTCCAATGCGGTAACTAATAATTAATAGGCTAACCGCGACGACTGTGAGGTTGCTAAAACCTTATAGCCTAGATTGGACAAAACTAAAACGATAAGTCTCTTGGGTTTCAGTAAACCTGCAGTTCGTGTACTTAGTGGTGTACTAATAGCGCACTGTGCCATCGAATGGTGGATTATGCAGAAGTTGCCAAAATGAAGAGGAGGTAGAATCCATCAACCACTTCCTGTGTCTCTGTCCAGGGCTGCAGACAAGGCGAGTTCAATGTCTTGAGATCGCTTTTTCACTAACTTGGAAGATATAACAAAAGCAAACTTATCGGATCTTCTCAACTTTATCTGGAAAACTAAATGGATAGTACACGAAGATAACAAAGATCATATTTTTTTTTTTTTTATTTTTTCGGTACAGCAAATTAAACAAAAATTACTGAAGGTGAAAAATTTTATATAAATTAAATATATATTAATCTGATATATTAGTTATATATATTATGATATATTATCAATAGAAATTAATAGAAATTATTATTAAATGACATAATATTTGATTAAATATAAAATTTTTGTTACCTTCCACATAAAAATATTACTCATGTCTTAAAAAAAATTAATGGAAATGAAAAAAGGCTTAAATTTAATTAATTTTTACTAAAAATATGACAAACTTATATAGTTTTTGCGTCATCAGTGTATGTCTTATTTTGTTTTAAAAATTATGCAATATATTTTAAAGATTATCTTATCAGCTCCATTTTTACTTCTGACCTTTTTATTGCTAGCAATCTCCAAAAATTCTAAAGCTTATTGTTTGTTAAGATAAATATGTATAATCTTCGCTAAAATAATAATCTCTTAAAAATTTGAATCTGAAGTAATTATTAATTAGTTAAATATTATACAAAACAATTTTTAATATACATTAAATTATTTACTAAATTTGAAAAAAGAATTTTAATAAGAAATTTCATAGTTTCTTATCTAATTTCTGACACTTAAAAAATCTATTACCGTAATTGACTCTCTAGCAGATAGTTCACGAATCAATACGCCTATGTATACTCGTACATTTCATAAAGTTGTTTTCAAAGATTTTATTACCTATATAAACATTATTTATTTAATATTACTTCTTTAGTATAATTCACAGTTTTATCATAGAAATACTATAATTGTATTGATTATTCAACGTTACTTAAAAACGTATGAATATAAAGACTTCAATAAGTTAATTAAATTAATTAAAAAGTTCATTAATAAATTAAGTTATTTACATAGTTATTAACTGTTTTTTGCGGCAAAGAGGTATGCATTGCGTACGCACTGACCACAATTCAGCACCCCGAAAAGTGAGTGTCGGACTCGCACGGACTAAACCACTCCTGCTCATTCCTAGAGACCCTGCCCTGCCACGGAATTACTTTAGTTTCACTTCGACATAAATATATTGAGTAAAAATATTTACTAACCGTAAAGTTTTAGACTTCAAATTTACTAAACTGATTTTAGTTTCCCAGTCGGAATACTCAATTACCAATAGACAACCAACCTCTGATACATAATAGTGTGCTGCAACCCATCTGCGACCTAATACCGACATGAAAAAAACAAATAGCTACGAGTTCCAACAATTAAAGAATAAATGTATAAACTCATAAAGATATATACCAAACGCATATAGAAACGTCCAAGCCCACTTGTGGTGAAAACCTTCACAAAAATAACAAACAAAAATTCCTCTGACATTCTTAAAATAAATTCACACTATCAATTTTAATTACATATCAGTATGGAAAAGAATAGGTATATATAAAAATATACTATAGGTGTCAAAGAAAATTTTTCCAAAGTTTTTAATCAAGTAATTTTCAATATTTCAAAAGTGGTTCGGTTCGTTCATATGAAAAAACTCTAGGTCTAACATTAATAGGGTTATAATTAAAATTTTGTATTGTTAAATAAAATAAAAATTTTTTAGAAAAGCCTATGTGTGAATATTTTCAGTTTATTAATAAACAATTTTTGGTTATTATTTTAAATTATAATAATTTTCAAAAATAAAACATCCGATATAACTTTATAATTCATATTGCAACAGTAATAACCGAAGACATGTGATATATGTATATTGATGGGGTGCTCTTGATGTTCAAAATAGCAAATATATTTTCTTCTTCTTCTTGGTTCCGTTAATTCCTCATATAGCATCAGGTCTCAAATATATACTTCAATCCAATATATAAAAGCAAAATTTTAATTATGGTAATTAACGAGTTAGCTAGGTGTCAAGAGTAGAAGTACCAGTGTTCAAGTGGGTGGAATAAGTCTCTTTTTGGAAAGGGAATGTTTTTGTCCGTATGCTACATATTAATGTTAGGTAGTCGGGCATACCATTCCGAGAAAAAACAAAACTTCCAACCTCAACTTTATTTCAATGTTCTACGATCAATGCCACTGTAGTTGTCGTAGAAGTCGGTGCCGGTAGATAAATCCTATGATGTCATTTATGATCGTCTCTTTATGAACCACTGCATGAATATTTAAAATGTTAATTAGTAGCAGTTTTACTTATTATGATAGCACCTGCAACTATATACGTATGCAACCAAAAATAATAAAAAAAATATATGAAATCGTGAATAATGAAACTTTATTAGTTTGCTTCTCATAAAAAATTCTTCATATTAAAAATTAATTATTTTCAGAAATATATTATGTGAAGTCTGTTAAGCAGTAAATTGAAAAAAAAAAACACACGCCTTTCAAATTATTTTTATTAATATATTAAAGCCTCTCATGGAATAATGGGAGCAAGTCTTATCTTTTGATAAAAACTGGAACAGTCTTTTTAACTGAATCAAGCATTTTATTGACAGATAGATCATATAACATATGTTTCCGCTTTTCGCATTAAGGGTTGTGATTTCATCGTTATGCTCCTGAAATAATTATTAGTACAATTTTCTGGTATCATTAACAGCTTAAATTGAACATCAAATTAGATATTTTAATAAATTTAAACTAATAAATCAAATTACGAAAATAAACTAATAAAAGTGAAAGTCGAGGACATACAAACACTACAAGACACAACTTTAGTCATTGAGTTTCTTTCCAAAAATTTTTTCATACTTCATGAAATGGATCAAGTTCTTTCTTTGATGAATCATTCATCAATTACACTTCATATACGTTTTTCTTGTTACGTTATAAATTATAAAATACAATATATATATTTTGAGGACAGGCTATACCAAAATATTTAATCAGTTAAAGAATATTACTGATATATTGCATTGGTATATATTGTCTATACCAAAATATTTAATCAGTTAAAGAATATTAGTGATATATTGCATGTCTACTAAGATAAAATGTAGGAATATCCTATCTTTCGCTTAGTTGACAACTTGACAAATTAAGCTTCTATAAAGTCGTTCAACATCAGACGTTGGCGACTAAATCAAAATACAGTTGATGTAGGGTGTAGTATTTTAAGTGAAGATAACAATCCCGCTCACATGTTTGCGCCTCTCATTTAAATTATATTGTTTTCCTTAATGTGTTATCAACAGAAACAACGAAACGCGACATTTTACAAAAACAAATTATTTGTTTAAACATATATTTAAATAATATTAAATAACAAAAACTACAAAATAGTAAAAATAACAGCAACAAACACAAATAAGAACACATAATATATACGAAACTTTTGAATTCTACAAACTCTACATTGTTGGGGCAACAGATTATAGGAATTGCAATGGAGAATCCCAACACCATTATTAGTAGTACGCGAACCGATTACGGGAGCACAACACATGCTAATACCTTCATTAGTGATACTTTAAATTCAGACAGTTTAACAATTGTTACAGCAGCTGTAAAGACAACAGCATCTGTATCTCAACGTTTCTCCACACGTAGCACAGAGAGCAATCGAAGAGGTTCTCGTGTTTCTGCGGTGGGTGGATATCAAAGCTTACCAAATACGTCAACTGGAAATTTACACAATAACAGATCGTCGAGACATTTCAAAATGTCTATGGACACAATGCCGAACAGTGAAACCAGACAGATTGTACAACGCTTAGAATTTCTCTTTAGTGTCATAAATCAGATATGCATCGGCTTCGTGACAATTTTCATGAGCTGGCTTTGTCTGCGAACGGGCTTGGCGGGTACAGCGTTACATGCCTGGCTGGTAACAATCGGTGTAAGTGAAAATTAAATTATTTTAACAAAAAAAAAAAATAATTCATTATTTCATGTGGGAAATACAATAAGAAAAACTTGATTTTAATTAATGAAATTTCATAATTCAATTCATTTGTAATTATTAAATAAGAATATTAATAATGTGCTAGTGCTACCAGTTTATCGTTATTTGCATATGTTAGACTAACATATATATATATATTATAATAAAATTTATGAACTTCTCCAAATTGTACACGCAGTATTATTGTGCTTTATTATTTAAACAATTATTAGTTGTGAATGATAAAAATTTAAATAATACATTTTTAACAAAAGAAAATAAAGTTAAAAAAATTAAAATAAAACAAATAAAATAAATAAAAATTGAAAAAAAATTGCATATATAAAAATTAGTTTAATATATATATTTTTCAAATTATTAAAACAATTAGTAGTTGTGAATGATAAATTTCAAATAATACATAATTAACAAAAAAAATAATCTTAAAAAAAATTTAAATAAAATAAATTTGAATTAAACAAAAAATTTCATACAATAAAAAAATTATCAAATAAAAAATAATAAATTTTTAAGTACTGAAAAATATCTATATTTATTAATACACATATTAACAAATTAAAACATAATGAAAAAATGTTTAAATTAATTATTATTGATTAAAGTTATAATAACAAAAAAATACAATTAATTGAATATTATAAATTATTTAAATTATTTATATTTTTATAATGTAAAATAAAATGAAGTGAAATGAAATAAAACTGAACGATAAATCCAATCCAGGACTTATAACATCCGCTTTTTAAAACAGGATAAACTAAGATAAAATCCAATAAAAATAAAATTATTCAAGTCTCATATAATAACATAAATATTACTAAAAAAGAACCTAAGAACTAAACACTAATATGATAATTAAAATAAACTAAATCAAAATAAAACCTAAATAAATTAAAAAAATCAAAATTAACAAAATAAAATAAAACAAATAAATTTAAATAAAAATAAAATACAATCACTACCATTAAAATAAAATAAAATAAAATAAAATCAGATAAAATAAAAAGGAACTAAAAACACTAAAGTATTTTAAAAAAATAAAAACAAACAAAATAAATCAAAATACAAATTAAAATAATCTAAAAAACGAAAGTGAAATAAAAAACTATATATTATAAAAATATTAAAAAAATATATATTATTTATATAAATAAAAAACTATATATATTGTATATAATAAAATAAAATAAAACAAATAAAGTAAAATAAAATTGAATAAAAATTGATATATTAGAATAAAATATAAAAGTGAAATTAAAATAATAGAAATTAGGCAAAATAAAATTAAATAAATAAATTAAAATAAAATCAATATAAACAAAAAAAACTTAACAAATTAAGAAATAAAAGTTAAGCAGAACTAAATAAAATAAATAAAATAAATTAGTGATTAGTGAATTGGTCCTTTAAGATTAATAAAGAACTTAGTAAAATAAAATATAGCATGTGCGATAGAGTTAATTAAATTACTATGGTATTTGACACAAGAGGTTCGTTGGAAGTTAGTTGATTTCAAAAAAAATTTAAAAAAAATAAAAATATTATCAATTGGGGGAGTAGAAAATTAATTGCACTCTATCAAAGCTTAATTAATAGTACTAGGAATGTGTGATTTTAGTTGAGGTAAATTAAATAGAATTAGTTCATATTGGTTTTAAAATAGAAATATTTTATAATATTTATTTAAATAATAAATTTTTCAAACACAATCAGAAAAACCATCAAAAAATATATTAAAACCGATAAAGTCAACGCAGGGGTAGAGTGTATAAGGCACGACTGTCAAAAAGAAACCAACCTAAAAAGTTTATATACTTAAACATTTTCATTTAATTATTACTTAAATAAAAATAACAATTAATAAATTATAATTTAAAAATCTTAAAATATTAAATTTTGAATTTATTTATCGACCTGTTCTTTTAATAATGATTTTTATACATACAGGGGTTCATTTATCACCTAAACTTAAGCTAAAAAAAAATTATTTCATTTAAAAGAAAAATTGTTTGAATTGTTATATTATTTATTGATGGCACTTCTTTAAATTCTAGTACTCTTTTCTGATGGCCGAAGGTATCATGAGCCATTTCAGTGGGAACGTACTTACATTCAATTATAAGCGTACAACAAAAACAACGATACACTGGACACTCCAAGCACTTGGAGGTTCATTAGGTGTTGCTGGTACTTTAATCAAATTAATTCAGAAAGGATTTACAATCTATAGCACGCATGCTAAACTGGGTAAGTTTAAGAGATTTTCGATTTATGAACATTGACTTACATTCTTTTTATCTTGTACAGGATTTGCGGCTATGATTCTTTGTGCGATAAGCATGTGTTCTGGACTTATTGCATTATTCTCAATGCGTCTGAAAAGAACCCTTAATCCATTACTAAATAAATCATTTCACAACTTGGTTGGGGTTGCCGCATTTGCTGTTGCATTAGTAGCACAATACTATGGCTACCAAACTGGATTTTTTAGTCGAAAAGTGGATACGGATTTCCAAATACTAATGAAAGTCATTACGTTACTATCGTTGGTGTTAACTAGCATAGGACCATTGCAGGCTCTCTATCATAAATGTATTAATATATACAGACATTTTAGTTAATTTTTATTTTTAATTCGTATATAAATATATTAGGCATTTAATGTATATATAAATGTATTTCAAAAATAATTTACCTAAAATTATTTTTATAAATACAATAAGAGATTACAAATTTAATTACATCTGTTTAAATTTATTGTTTAAATTTAAATAATTTAAAATAAATATAGTTTTTTAAACATTTTTGTGATATATCTTCTTATATACTTAGTTTGAAGAACCGTTTCAATCAATGTTTCTCATTCCGAAATACACTGCGTCCCAGAAAAACATTATACATATATTACAAAGACCAATAAAATATTCAATGTGTTTTGTCAAAGCCTCTATTAATAGCTCTCTAAAAAATAATTTCATCAAAAGGGAAATTACAATTTTTTATAGACTAGTCGAAAAACTCTAATTGCATTACAATTAACAAAGAACTGAGACAAAAACTGAGTAATATGAGAAATACCAATGATCGAAATTTATATAGGACAATAAAATTAAAATACTTCTTCATACGTAGCATTACAGTCTTTGATGAACCAGTGCTGCCATTATTTATAAGTGCTAAGACTATTAATTGATGGGTTATGCTAAGGAAAGGAACAAAAATTTCAATAAATAAAATAATATTTTTGTCCTTGTCTCTTCGTTGGTATTCAAATCCGTCTAACTTAAAAATAAAGAGATGTTTATAACTAACTATAATTAAATAAATAAATCCTTAATAATTAAATAATAATAATAAGAATAAACGGGGTACTAGCTCCCACTTGAGCAGAGCACTGCGACCATGATTGATCTTTTGTGCTACAACAGACCCTAACCAAGCAGAAGACGTTCTGCCTTCCGAATGAAGGCTAAAATGTCGGCCGTTGAGCATCTTCAAATGTCGGAAGGTGAGAGTAGTTTCCGACTCAGTGACCTCCTCCTGGCCTAGATCAAGGGTGGGCAGTCACATAGAATGTGACTGGATGTCTCCTCTACTTCTAAACAGAGTCTACACTCTACCACTTCGGACAGATTCATTTTGTTGAGGTGGTAACGTAGTTCGTGGTGACCCGTTAGATATCCCAATAGCAATCTCAACTCTGTTCTGCTGAAGAAGGATATCTTATTATGAGTATAGGGATGAACCAGCTCTTTAGCCTTACGGTTACTTGGCTGTCGTGCCAGTAGCAACTTCTCTCACATAATTAAGTAAGAAATTTTGATTTTATTTAATGCACAATATTATACATTTTGTACTTCTGAAAGTAGACGTAAATAAAATATACTTGAAAAATGATTTTTAATTAAATTTGTGTTTTAATATATTGTTTGGGCCATTAGGTCAACCTCTGCGAAACATGGGAGGCTCTGTCGGCATAAAGATAGTAATAGATTATTTGAAGCATTTCAAACGTCAAGATCCTTTGCATAACCCCATAATTTACTATTTTTACAATTACGTATTTAAATTATGTTTTCACGTAAAATCTTATCTACATCCAAATATAAAATTATAAACTTATTTTCAGTAATTATTTTGATATGACGACTGCATGACGTATAATCGCCATATCTACAACTAACTTTAATTTTAAAATTTCACACAGCAAATTTCTAGGTACAATTTTTTATAGTTATTTTTTAGATGCTTTTAGACTAGTTTACCGATAACCAGACAGACAGACAGACAGACAGCTAAACAGAAACACTAAATTAACTTGCACTGTCATGCTGGTAAATTATTATCAGACACGTAAGGTTTTCTAGCAGTTGTGGGGAAGATGATGAGAGTGTCTCTCATATAATTTGTCTTGAGGATCTTGATCAACTGTAATAACTGATATTAAACAGCATTTTAAGCTTCGCCAAGGGTTCCAGGTGGTTTTAAATTCTGAGTAATTCTTATATATACGGTAACATAATAAGCCAATAGGCGATCTAGGGATCGGCAGTATAACCTAACCTAACCTAAAGTTTCTGGATCCCAAATTTTGACTATTCATTGAGTTGGTGTCGAATCCAGATGAAAATTTGAGGTGAAGTCAATATATTATATTATTATATTATATTATATATTTTTTATATATTATTATAAACATTTAATATTTCGAAATTTAATAACAAATCTTATTGCGGAAGCTCCTCTCAGTAAACAAAATGGAGTTTATACTCTTAAATTCCTGTTTCAACTCTTCAACTGCACTGTGGCTTACTAAATCCAATGCAGTTTATGTGATGTGTATCCGTCTATCTGCTTAGCTATATATCAGTAGTATTTTATTTTTTGAACTAATCGGTTCAAATTTTAAATTGGAAATTTTTAAAAATGCAGATACATAAAGACAAACAATGAGATATAATTTGTTAACTGTACAATATAGAGTCATATAATTTAACTCTCATATGATAAATTTATTTTAGATACATAGGTATATAAATTAGACTATATGCTAAAACAATGAAATTTCGAATAATTTTACTAAATACTCGTAAAAGATAAATAATTGTTTAATTGATCTGCAAAGCAAAAACGTCCTTATTTCTTGTTTTATATCATTATCATATGTCCGAAAATACTCAAAACCTTACATTACTCCACTGCATGTACATATGTATGATAGATAGTTTGATTAACTCTTAATTAGTCTGACTAAAGGCATGTATTTAATGCATTAACAATTTTATTTTTAAATCTTATCGGTTCTACGTGCGTCGTCCGCTCAAATATGTTAAGAATTATATCTCAAAAATACAATCAGTAAAATATAAATATAGTAACAAATTAAAAGACATACAATAAAAATAAATGTGAATATTATTTAAAAAAAAATATTAGATAAAATTAGTCATTACCTGTAGGTAGACACCTTGTTTCCCCGTTGCGGTACACTGTAAATATTATGGAGTTAAGTAAAAATTGCTTAAGACTGAATGAAGTCGTTTTTCTGTAGTACTTAAGTAATGACACACGATTTTCTCAACGATTTGAGTGCTTATTAATTTATATATTATTGGAATTTAAAAAAACAATATATTTTTGGCACTTTAATAAACTTTAATAAATGAAGTTTAAAAGATAAAGATTATAGAAAAGTGTCTTCTAAGAGTTGATATTTTTCAATTGTAATAAAATATTTTATTTTGTTATAATCACAAAAAATACTATATCATGATGATAAATAAAAAAAGTGTAAATATATAAAATATATTTCTAATAAACTTTAATATTTACAATCAAAATATATTAACATTTATTACAAATAAACCGTCAACCAAATCATAAGTCAGAATAAAGTTGATTAATTAAGTTAAGAACGTATTGACTCCTGATATCCCTAATAACCCTGATTACTTACGCCCAGTTAAGTTAATAACCCATTAGAGTACTAAGAACCCATGGAGTAATAACCCATAAAGTGCATAGTGGGGTGAAGGCGCTCATTCTTACCATCAAGATTACATGAGAATAATACAAACACATTTAATAAACCTTTTTTTAACAACATTTTTTATATATATGTATAATATTAATATAAGATATATATATATCTATTATTATTATATATTTTTTATTGTTATATTTATTTTACATTTTATTAATAATAATATTAATAATTTTTTTAACAAAAGTATAATAGAGACAATTTAATAATATTGTCTTATTCAGTCAAGATATATATATATATATATTTAAGTCTCTTTATAAATTTTACATTTAATGAAGACAATTTCATTGAGAAACTTTTCAGTTTTTGGTTATTACTGCGATATTATTGACATTCTGAAAAATACTATATATGCTAATAATACTACAATATATTTGGCGAATAAGCCAAAATTATAGCAAAAAGAAAAGTTGCTGGTAAACCAAAAAAATAAATACTATACAAATTTTAACTAACATGATAATATATATTTTTTTTTTTTGTGGTGAGGAGGTGGAAAGCTTTATGCACCGTCAAACCGACCGTCGTCGGAATGGTGTGCCCGAGTCCCTAATAATAATATCTAGTATACGGACTAAAACGCCCCCTCTTCAGCGAGGCTTATTCCCCCTCAGAACCGCTTTCGGATTACTTCGAGGAGGGTCTCTTTTATGTTGACATTTCAAGCCATGCTCTCTTGATTTTCGATCTACGTCCAAATCACCACTTTTCACCGCATTTTCTTGGTGTCCACTCTATGATAATATATATTACATTAGACACTATATAATATATATATATTCTTTATCTGGCTCTGCCAGTCTCTTTTTATAACGATCGAAATTATTATTAAGAAGTTTAATAAATTAGTCACTAATCAAACTAAATGAAACGAAATCAGCTGAATATGAAAAATTTAAAATTAAAATAAAATAAAATTCATGATTTCATTCTCAGTCTTGGTGATAAATATCGATAATGGTATCTACCATATAAAGCAAAACTCACTCATGCCCTAAGCATTAAGCTCATTGCTATACCCAAAGAACCATGTTTCTGCCTTATTCTCTCGAACTCGACTCTAACCATCGGAACTTCCAAATTGAAATGATTGTTTTTATTTCTAATATACCAGGGTGCACCAGTTATCATTTTTAGAATCTTTGCTTGAGCTCTTTGCAGGATTTCTACATTTGACCAATAGGCATTACCATATAACTGTAAGGCCATACCATATAACTTAAGGTGAATACCAAGGTACGTCACTGTTTCTGTTTACGGAACCATAATTCATAATTCAAATACAATTTGAATACTTATTGATATTTTTATAAACGTAGGGAAAAAATTTTTAAAAAAAATAAAAAATATTTTACAAAAATTATACTGTTGTACTATTATACTATTGTACTTATACTGTTGTCTACACAAACATAAAAAGTAATTATTATTTAAATGTTCTAAGAAATTTATATTACTTCAGTCAAAATTATCAGTAGGTTGCCTGCATCAAAGGTCAATTACGGAATAACAGCGTATATAAGAAAAATGTTTTCGGAAAATATGATTGAAAAATAATAGGGTATTAAATTCAAACAAAACCCTTTACGAAAGTTTTCCTCCATTTTAAATCTAAATCTGTTTAACAACAGTCTTCCATACTTCTCTGTTTTTGCTTTTGTTTTTCAATTTTTTATGCACATTTCTTCTGAGGCATGCTGCACACTATCTTTCCATTGTTTTCTTGGTCGCTCTCTTCTTCTGCTGGTTCATACTTAGTTCTCATAAATCTTATGTGGTACTCTCATATCCGGCATTCTTTATGATATGATATATGTTTCAAAAAAATTTTTGCCATCAATTAAGAGAATATATTATTGACTAAAATTTGATATAGCAACTAAGGTACTTGATTAAACCGTTTATAAGATATAAGCTGAAGATTTTTTTTGGGTGTAGTTTTCTTTAACACCTCTATAAATAAATGACACCACTCCCACATGTTTTTTTTTACTTCTTAAATCGTTAGTTCGAACTTAACATATATTTAAGAAATACCCGGCATGAGATTTAAATTGAGAACTAAGTGCTTGCATGAGTAAATAGACCTAATTTAATTATTATTTGATATCAGTTTTATTAAGTAGTGCTAATTATATGCAATATGACATTTTTGATCAATAACTTAATCAGTTTTGTAAATGATCTTAGATATATTTTTATTTAGGATCACTAAGATAAGCTTCCGTTTTACATTATTTTATTAGCTTTCGCTTATAATATCAATAACAATATGCATTAGATTTATAATTTATTCAATAATTTATCTAATTATTTTTAACTTACTTGTTACAGGCTTTTTCGAGATAACAAGTTATTTGTATATTTTTCAATAAGAAACAATTATTTTATAAAATAGTGCATATTAAAATTCAACTCAATTAACACATCAAAACCGTTAAACTGATACCTTCATAATTTTTTTTATTTGATCTTTTGAGATGAAAAGCATATAAGAGAAAACCAACCCACCTAGATTTATCAAATGGTAAACTTCCGAACGAACTAACGCCGAAAAGGTGTGAAAATCGTGAAAAACACTCGTACCAGATGAAATACTTAACTATGATATATAAAAAATCTCTTCTCCGCCTCACAAATATCTTTACTAGCGGTAGTAAAAAAAACTTTGCCATTGATAGGAGATAAAATGTATACATATAGACTTTTGATAATTTTAGAGTATTCCTACTTCTATTTAGTATAATGAAAACCTATTGAATCGTTGTAATACAGGACGATATTGAACATACACATAGAGTTCTGTTAACAAAACACTGTCTCTGTTTTGATAAAATCCCAATCTACTACACTGAACGAAAAGTATTATCTGTGCTTATATATCCTAAAGAGTTAAGGGTTTACCTATTGAAATGAATATCTACCACACCTATGTAATAAAATATATATCATTACATGTATACACATATTGTTATTATTGTTAAGTAAGTGTCTTAGTCTTAAAATATTGTGTGTTGTATGGCACTAACATAATATGATATGACAGGCAAACTTTCAAGAAGAGGCGCGGCTTGAATAATGATAGAACCAGAGCCTTTCTGTGGTTTAGGCAAAGGAACTCTATCCATTTTTATGAACTTCGCAGAGCAAAAAGAAAACGAACTGTATTGCAAAAAGCTACCAAAAGAATCACAATCTAAAATGCTTTTAGGAAAATACAACCTAAAACGGATTGCATAGAACAATCAAAGAATTACCTAAGAATTATTACAGCATTATTGAGCGGTCGCTGTAGATTGAATAATCACCTAACGAAGTTAGAAGTTCAATCCAACTCAGACTGCAGATACTATAGAGAAGAGAGAGAAACTGCATACCATATACTTGAGGAGTGCCCGACACTGATGCACAAACGAAAGAAACATCTAGGTAGATATTTTATGGATCATAAGGATTCAAGACTAGGGGAAACTCATTTCAAAATTTTTCTTAAAACCTTAATTTCTTTTTTTTATAATTAACTATTTATCTTTAGCCCCAAAATAAACTTTAGTCTCAGCAATAAATTTTTAATGATGGATTCTTTTTTGATCTATTGATGGTATGATTTATTAAATAGTTTTTAGGTAGCTGTTCTCTTTAACTGTATTGTTATTAATAATAATAATTATTTTTGTTAAAATAGTTTTGTTTATATATCTATAATCTGCACAAAAGATCTTTCAGGTCGTGCTGCAGGAATAGCCTATCTATAATAATATATCCATAATAGTGCCAAATAGAAACCGATAGTTCATGTTTGAATTGCATAAAAAAAACTCATATTATTCGCACTGAAATAGCTACATAACTTTTCTATTATTGATATATTTATATTAATACAATACATATATGTATACTTCTTTCTGATATTTTTAATAGGTTTAAGATAACTAAGATAACTAACTTCATTATACGGTGCTTTGTGGTGCTTCGATTTTTGTTGTTTTTTTTTGGAATAACCAACGAATTCGGGTATCCAGAGCAAATCAGATCACTTAAATGTTGTCACTTTCTAAGAACCTTACTAATATATTGAGTGATTTAATCTATCTTAATCACTGCGTAACAAATTGTCAAAAATGATTAGTTCAGTTCCTAAAAGCAGAGTACTTAAAGCTTGTTAAAGTTAATATTTGTTATGAAATTCATATTTAATAATAATATTTTAAAGATATTTCTACACTTCTACACTGAAAGAAGTTGTCTGAAATTTAATTAAAATAAGATAGTATAAGCCTTTAAATCAATGAAATTTATATATAATAATTTTTTATACAGAAATACTACAACATTGGTTCAGAAAATAAATTCACAATGCATTGTTTAAAAATGCTTTGAGTTATGAAATCTATTTGAATGTACATATATTTTTAAAGATTTAGATAAAATAATTTAGAAAGTTTGTTCCATGACTAAATCTAGTTTAAGTAGTCACGTCGCTAAAAGCTCAAATCAAACGTTCGAATCGATCTATCAGCAATGAAAGTCATTTAAACTGTCTTATCAATGAAATATATCAGCTCAACTAATGTAATTAATTAAACAACATATAGAACAGAAGAAAAGTTATTTTACGACAGTTGGATCAGTTCCAATAGAGCACTTCGAGGTAACGGCAATAAACTATAACGCGAAATTCTCCGGTATTGAAAATTTGTAATACTTTTATTATGCAAATAAGTGTCCTTTTGCTATAAACTTTATATACTTTATATAATATTAAAATTTGTTTCTTTGTGCATTTCTTATAAAGTTTTTAAAATCATAGCCGTAATGTCCACCACTCAAACCAATACTCAAAAAATATTTGAACGATTTGAGTTCTTTTTGGGTATAATTAATCAAATGTGTATTGGTTTCGTTACGATCTTCATGACATGGTACTGTATAAGTACCGGTCTTCAGATAGACTTAATGCTGCATGCCTGGCTTGTGACAATTGGAGTAAGTTCAATTTATCAATTTTACATTAATAATGTTTTCGATCGAATATTGTGTATACTTTCCTGAAAACGTCTACATATATATTGTATTTTATGTAAAGAATAAATAATATTGCAATATGTATATAAACTAAAATATGAATATCAAAATACAGTGTCTTCCACATCTTCTCAAATAAATGCTATGATCTCTCAAATAAAAATCCTAGTTTTACGATATATCCTTGAATTTTTAGTCTACCAACCAAAAAAGTTGCAATTCATTCTCTAATTTATTAAGCTTTGTATTTAATAAAAAAAGAATCAAATTTATTGAGCATTATATATAGCATTTAAGTATGATTGTCAAGATGTAAGTCTTTGCTATAGAAATTGTCTCAATTTTTTGGCAAAATATATGCCATTTGGGTCTGTACCAGAACGCACCAAAAATTTATACAAATTTATTGATACCAAACTAAATTTTATAAACAAGCTACTAACATATAAGATCTCTACGATTTTAGTTTACTAAATCTAAGTTGATCTAAAACTTCAAATATATCATATCTGAACAAAATAACACCCATCAAGATATGTAGACACAAGAAATTTTCCAGAAGTGAAACAACTGAAAGAATCGCAAAGAAACGTGGGTTAACTTCATGCATTGAACTAGAGATCCACGTGAAACTTAATTGAGATATTTATTATTAAACTATATAAATAGTTACAAATCGAATACTCGTGTAAATTGCTTTGAAAATTATGTATGGATGCAAAAATGTATTCCAAAATTTAATCCAAAATACTGAAATTAAACACTACTGATTTATAAAAGGCGCACGCTCCTGCTAACTTCTTCTTTACACGGATGAAATTATAGATCCTTAAAATGTGCAGATTCTGTTAAATATGATTGTCAAGAAATGGGTCCCATATATGCATTTGTGCTTTGTTTAACCTAATGGCATTTGGAATGTTGAGCTTAGAGGTATTGTAAGGCATAACTATAATCCTTATTTCAGATTAGCCCAGCAGATTTGTTCTGACTATAGAATAATGGTTTTCATAGGTCGTAGGCAGGTCACGGTTATTTTTAATTAATAAATCAAATTATAATTGTTGAATGTTATATGAACAAAATTTAAAAAATAAATAATAAAAAATAAAAAAAATATTTTCTGAACAAATATTTCATTAAAGTCAGAAAAGAATAACAAATTTAAATTAATATACATATTGTATTATTATTAGAAAAATAATTTTGTTTTTGTAAATATGTACTATATTTTCTGATTTTACAAATTATATATAATTACTATACAATTTATAATTTAATTTAAAATTAAAAGAACTAGCCCGGAAGTATGCTTTTGATTTTATATTAGTACTTTTTGCTATGATAATATAACATAATTTCTAGCTTGAAAATAGATTATATATGTATTATTTATATATATTATAAATTTAATAAATTATTTTCAAATCACAAATGTGGTTTAATTTAATTGTAATTATTAATACACAAATCATATAAATTTATCCGTTTATTGTTAAAAGTCTGTTCATTTTTTCCTTATCATATTGTTCAGATTCTTAATTCTTATATATTAATATGTACGAAAGCTGAAATATGTAAGAAGGGAAACCGAAAGCCCCTCAAAACTGTTTGAATAATTATATCAAAATCTTCTTGAATATTATATTTTATAAATACATTTTTAATAATTGTTTCAAATATAATATACATTACAGAATGCATCACTTTTTTTTTATAGTTCTAACTTAAAGTTAGTTAAATTATTTTTGACTATTATTATTATTTATTTTTACAAAATTTTAAATTCAATTAGTTATACGTACTAAGTAAACTTAGGTTTTTGTTGATAACGATAATAACCCTTCATAAAAATAATTATGTTGCAAATCAATAATTAGAGTCTAAATTTTAATTTTCATTAATTAACTTGCAATAGATGTTTCACTTAAATAAAATTTACACATACAAACAAACTTCTGTGATGCACAAAAAAACATCGTTGTTGTTGCTAGTTTATTGCTTGTTTTTGTGCATAGTTTTGCATTTAAATGATTGCTACAATGTACTTGTGTACTTGTATTTCTCAACTTAGGTTAGGTTAGGTTATACCGGCGATCCTCGGTGGATTCACTTAGGCCAATCGGCCCATTGTGTTGCCGTATATGTAGGAAAAACTAGGGGTTTAAAACCTAGTAAAACTTAAAATGCTTTTTAATGTCAGCTCTTGAAATAGATCAAGATTCTCAAGAAAGGGGGCTCCCAAAGTGTTGAGTCACCGCCGTACATGAGTTGGACAAAACATAGTAGATGAGAGACACTCTCATCGTCTTCCCCATAGCTGCGACAGGTTGATTCGCAACTTACCTCAAGCGAATATATTATGCAGAGAAATAAGAGTATAAAATAAAATTAAAAAATGCAGTCAATTATTAATGATTAAATGTCTAGTTAGATCATAAAAGTTTTATAGAAAACCTCTATATAAGCATATTTAGTAATAATATAATGAATATATTATAGAAAGTCACAAGGTATCAAATGAAATTAAAAAAAAACCTAAATTAAAACTGTAAGTGCATCTTTTGCTTCTAAGTAAAAGTATATGGTATATCTGAAAATATATATGTATATAAAACAAAACATTTAACTAAATATTATACTAATTAAATTTTAATTGCAGTTCTGTTTTCTGATGGCTGAAGGCATTATGTCCCATTGGACTGGTAATGCACTCACATTCACATACAAACGCCAAACAAAAACTCATTTACATTGGATATTAGAAGCACTTGGGGGTGGATGTGGAGTCGCTGGGTGTCTTATAAAACTCATACCCGACCAATTTGTATTAAAAAGTATTCATAGTAAACTAGGTAAAAGTTAATTTATAAAATTCTGTTTAAAATGTTTTAATTAGAAATTTTTTTTCTATTACAGGTTTTTCTGCTTTTATTCTATGCTTGGTGAGCATGTTGACGGGTCTAAGTGCAATATTTTCTATGCGACTCAAAAAATTACTGAGTCCATTGTACAATAAAGCATTTCATAATCTATTGGGAGTTTCTACGTTTGTAATAGCGTTGGTGGCTCAATACTACGGATATTCATTTTTCGTTTGGTTGCATCTGAATCCTGGACTAATAACTTTATTACAGTGTATAACACTTGTCTCTATGGTATTAACTTGTTGGGGACCGTTTAAAGCGCTATTCAATAAAATTGTCTCAATGTTTAATTAAAAAATATGATATTGAGAGGGTGTTGTTAATCAAAAAAAGCAATTGTGATATACATTATATATTAAAATCCCACAAAAATATATCTCTATTCTACTAGAAATTTTTTTGAATTTTTTTATTTCAATCACAAAATATACACGAAAATAGAATTAAATAACTTTATTATTAATCTTTTATAATAACCTCATACATATACGAGTATCTCCTACTTTATATGCAATGTAGATACATGAGGTTGCAATAACAACCTTTCTTATTCTTATCACTGCGACGCTAACAACATATAGATTACATATTTACAGGTCATGAACCTGCAACGCACACTAGTAAAACTTGGTGTATACAATCTCATCCTTAACATTTGCGCAGTAGTTATGTATGGCAAGCAGGTCCGTCTGTATGGACATTTGGCTGGAACTCTTACTGTAATTAAAGGTGGAACGAATGTACGAATGTAAGGTGACCTCGAAATACTAGTGTTAAACTGTACCTGATTAAATTATATTCAACACAAAACAATAAGAACTATAGTTAAGATTAAGATACAAGAAACTGATGACTCTAATTTAATAAAGGCTGCATTAATATATGGTAAATCGTGTAATTTTAAGTAAGATTTAGCGATTAAAAAAATTAAATATAAGTAATACATATGCTAATACTTTATTGAACCTTATGTTGTACATCTCTTGTCAAAGAAGATGTGCCATATGTTTCTTACAATACGAGGGTCACTATTTTTTTTTGAGCCTAATAATGAAAAAATAGTAACTTGTCGTTGAAAATCGCTTTATTTTTTCTCGAAATATTCTCCTTTATGATTAATATACTTTTGCATGCGTTCGAACCATTTGTCAAAGCATTTTTTCCAATCTTCTTCAGACACCTCCAAAACATACTTTTTACTCGTAAATGCAACAACGGCTTCTTCCGCCAACAAACATTCGAAAATCGTTGGACTTCGTTGACCCATCAATTCGATTTTTTTAAACTTTAAATAGTCAGTTGTTACTCATAGACGAAATATGTGAGCACTCGCATTGTCTTGATGGAGATAGAAAATGATTCGACGGAAATAAATGATTGCATACCATTCGAATTTGATCGTTTTACGTTCCTGTAATAAGAAACGAGCACTTGGTTCAACAATTTTTGTTGGCTTTGGTTCATCTTGAAACACTCATACAGTGGACTGCTGTTTACGTTTCGGCTCATAGGAGTACACATATATCTATGATTCGCCACCTGTTACAATCTTATAGTTGTAAACGTTTTTTGAAGCACTACGATTATACTTCTTGGCCATTTGTGTGCACGGTACACCAAGGAGTTTGTTGAGATTTTGTCAAATGATTGGGGATGGAATGTAACAGGTACAAACGTTTCTCATGGCAAAATGATCGTGCTATATTTTATAAATGCCTCAATCTCACAGTATGTTGCATGACGATCTTCCATTATAGATTTCAGTTTTGCACAGCATTAATGTTTTCTGGTACAACAACTGAACAATTGATTTTGGACGACCTCCACGAATACGAATTTTCTCAGTAAACGAACGGCGGACATGATTAAAATCATTGCTACAGCGTTTCACAGTAGCAAAGGAAGGAGCTCACTTTACAGCGCTAAATGTGATGCAAAGGATGGAAATATAATACAATTTGATATGATAATAAAAAATCCAAAAAAAAAAAATAGTTTAGCAAATAGCATAAAGAAAAAAAATTAAAAAAAAACAAAATTTAATAGTGTTGCCATAGAGCAGTCATACCTGTTCTGGTCTTAAGGTTGCATGATATCGCCGATATAATGTAATTACCCTAAAGATATGATTGTGCTCTACTATTATATAGATTTATATAAAATCTTGTTTTCGTGTACTACTTATTTTTTCCTATATATGTCCATGTTTTATAATTTGGGTAAGACTAACACAGTTATACTTTCAAATGTTTCCTTAATCATCTTGACTTACGCTATATAAATGACGTTCTATAAGAAGGTTATTGAGGACACAAAACCATCCACAATTTTTGACTGCCAACTTCTTTACTGAAATATATAGTAGTCTTTTTCATCATATTCAGGTAGGAGCATAATATATACTTTAGGTAAAAGTACATATATACGTACTTCCATCTTTGTAACATTTCAATATGAGTTTAAAGTATAAATGTGTACGTTTTTGTCAAATCGGCCATATTAGCATATACTTTATACAGTATACACTTCTTTGAAATATGAATGGGTCCATTTGTGTTTAAATTGCTTTCACTGGTGGTATAAGGAGCAGCAGTTTCCCGCTCCAATTTCCATGGAGCGAAATGTTTTTCTTTCCACAAAAATTATTCCATTATACTACTTTTAGGTGTCAAGTTCCTATCAACTACTTATTTACTATATGAAAACTTTGTTGTAAATAGTACCATATAGTATATTTATGTTTTGAAACTAGCTTAAGTTGATTCTATTTTCTTCTAAGATGTTACGTATATGTCACCCATATTGTATTGTGTTGAAGCATAAAATATTATTCTAAAATCTTTGATGTGTTCTTGATTCCAGACAAATTTATATATTCAATCGTTTTTATTTTTTCAATAAATTTTAATTAATGTTGTCAGCAACAAATGTTTTGTAATATCAGCCTTCCGAAATAATTAATTAACATATTCATGTCTTCGTATCAAACGGATTTAGTTAAAGATAAGTAATTATTTCACATTCAACATACTTCGATCGGACAAAACTTTCACACACTTGCTATATAAATGACAGACCATATAATGAAAGCAAAGGAAACATATTGGTATCATTCGGTTTCACAGATTAACGAAAATAGACAAGTAGGACGTCACTGCTGATCTTCAATTTATAAAAGATTTTATAACAAATATATTAAACGAACGCTATTAATTAAGTCTCTGTTAGTATCTTTCGATACTTTGTTTCTGCTTTTCGAATATCTGTGCCTTACAAGTGAAAATTTGAACATATATGGAGTATTTACTTGGTTCAAAGAATGGAATGAAATTACAATAACGTCTTGTTTTTGCTATATTTTATAAAAAGGATTTCTAAGTCCAAACGGATATTCTTAATTTCTTATATACCAAGGAATTCTAGTTATTGAATGAATGATTTTGGATAACATGCTGAATTATCTCAAGCATTATTTGATAGCTTAAGACTATATGTCTAAACAAGCTTGAGATTTAAGCATTTTAAAGAAACACTTTGAACTTTTGATAAAGTTCCAAAAAATATTAAAAAATTTTAAAAAATAATGGTTTCCTGAAAATTTTTATTTCGTGGTAAAATTTAAAACTAAATCTAAATAAAATATAGAACATGAAAATTTTGGGTACATGTCTTGAGAAAAATTTTTTTTTGAAATTTAACGGTTAATATGAGTACTTAAATATAAACCATTTTAATTATTTAAGCAATTTCTTAAAAGTTCAATCAATTATCTTTGAAACGCAGTAAATTTGAAGTTCTTACCATTTATAGAACTTAATATATTAGCCATTTGAAAATGTGTCTACAAAGCGAATTCTCAAAACCCCATGGGTTCATATCTCCTAGAAAAAAAATCACAAAATTTTTCCTCGAAATATGGATCTTCTTATTTCACAAAAGGAGCTCATAAAAAAAATTTCAGTCAAATCGGAAAACATGGGTCAAAAAGATGTCCGATTTATAAAAGAATGACCCATATTCATTCTAGTTTTGATAACATTAAAAATTTACTAATTTTAAATTTTATATTAAAAAAATTTGTATCAGTTGAAGATAACGCTAAGAACTCTAGGTAATTAATTGATGGGTTCAATAAAAACAATTATTTAAAAATTATTTAAATTAAAGTTGAGGAAGTTTATTCCCTTTATTTCAATGTTGAATCTTCAATATTTGAAGTAGTTTTCTTTTATAATTGTGCACTTATGCCATCCTAAATTGTAATTCGAAGAATTAAAGTCACTGTTGAAATGTCTTATTAGATACAGTTTTGAGGAAGAATAAATAAATCTCAATTTTTGATATAGAGAAAAGTTCAGAGTATCATATATATATATATATATTATATATATATATATATATATATATATACATATACTATATGTGTTAAAATATATTATAAATATATATACCAATACATAAATAAACGTCTATATTTTATATTATTTTAATATTAATCAGATAATATCTAATTTCTCCATCTGCAATTTTTCCATAAAAAAGAAACTATTTATATTCAAACAATAAATGAATCGATAATGCCGCATTTATTTTAAAATCATTCAAACTACTTAAAAGCTATATATCTACATTATCTTAGAATATTATTTATCAAGAAAAATAATCAGGAAATATTTGTTTCCTCAATGTACTAAATAGTTCTCATAAATGCAAAATTATCTACTAAAGACCAACGTTACACTAGAGTGAAAAATTTTGTATCCGAACTTAATAAGCATTACTTGTAATCAACAAAAACAAAAAAGTTAAAATTACCTATAACAATTTATTATCGTAGTATACATTAACTTACACACATAATATATGATTGCACACTTCTCAAAAGTGCAATATAAATCAAGTCCCTTGTAGATTAGGTTAGGTTAGGTTATACCGGTGATCTCAAGGGAATCCACCGTATAATAGAGAAACTCAGTCTAGAACCTTTGGTGAAACTTAGAATGCTGTTTGGTGGAACGTTTTGTGGTTGATCAAGATCTTGAAAGAAGTAGGCCCCTAAAAAGTTGAGTCGCCGCCGTGCATAAGCCTTATGGTGGGTTTACAGCGTAGCTGCGATAGGTATGATTGAAGAGGAGATTCAATCTTCTAGCATAGTTATCTAATCTACAATGATCTGTAATGTAAGTAAACCTATCTTTTCGGGGCATTTCAATGGGAGAATTAGATTTTCTTTTAGTGGAGAGTGACCAAATTCCAACCAGATGCCTACTTATCCCTACAATACTACACTGGATTCCCTACAATACTAGAGTCTATAATTTTAAAAATTTCCGTATCTCTCTAGACGGGCAGAAAGTACAAAATGTGACTTGATTTTGCTCTGATTTAGATTAAGAACACCTAAGTTGAAATTATTTACCATGTTACTAATTACATACTGCTCAATAGAAGATAACTAGACCATCGATAAATAAGAGGAAACCATTCTGTTTGGCAATGTGAAGTACAATATTCAACCTATGTATATGTATATTTATTTTTATTTTAAAATTTCATTTTTACAGCACGTTTAATAAATCTTAAATTAATATATAAATAAATATAATCTAAATAGCGACTGTGACACAATGTCGTCCGTTGACTTATAGTATAATGCATAATAGTAAATATAATAGTAGTATAATAGTATAGTATAATAGTAATAGTACAAATGGTAGTATAACAGTAAATATAATAGTAAGCTAATAAATACACGTTATAAATAATAGATAAGATCGGTATGTTACATAGGTTCTTATATATTCTGCTACTTTTATCCATACTATTTTAAAGCCGTTCAAAATATTTAGAATGTTTTCATAAGATAGAATAACTTTACTAAAGTAAGCTAATCGAAACTCTTGTAGAAAACAAACAATATCTTCAATCTCAACTAAATTCCACATACTAGAAAGCATAAATCTATCTACATCAAAGTTATTCCCGTTTAGCTGTGCCGTGCTTCTTCTTGCTTTGAATATCTAGGTAATATTTTTAATATGTGTTATGTCAGCTATATATTCCTTTTCCAGTGATGGCGTCAAGTCTTACTAATTTCGGTTGGTTTGTTTTGATTTGCTTATATCTTTATCTCTCATATCAGTTTTCAGAACTGTAAATAGCAATTCATTATTTATCTTCCAAAGTCTTTGCGATGCTGTTCGCTGATTTCAATTTATACCGCAATCATTTCCCAGCTCATTAAGAGCCTGCTCCCAAGAAAGATTATAATTTAATAATTTTTTGGTTAATTAATTGAATAATCTTTCGTTATCGTATATAAATATGGTTCTGAAAATGTAATTGGGGTGCAGTTATAACGTATATAAATGTCTCTCTTCCGTCCCAGTCTCTAACATTAAAATATATGTCAGCGTAAATTGCGGTATTCTCAATATTTTCTTTAAAAAGTATAATTGAAGTTTATCCCATTCCTCAAACGGAATGCAATCCCATACTTGAGCTCTACTAATATGTTGGTATTCCTCTACTTACTGCTAGAAAGAAATTCCATTTTGCTTTTAAATATATGTTGGTTTTATTGAGAAAGTTGTTCCACGTGAGATTTATACTATATTTTGCTGCAATATTTCTCTTCTCTACATGCTTCCTAAAGTTCCTTGTTGGTGTCATTATCACACCTAGATAGCAGTATTCATTCACTACTCTACCGACATAGCAATCCATATTTAATATATTAAAATAACAATATTTCGATCCGCTCGCAGCGTAACACCTTGAAAAACTTAACAAATTTTTTGTACGCCTTAGAGTAAAAGATATAAAAGTTCCTCCTGTAATATGTTTCCTCTACTATGTGCTTTAGTAGAATGCCTGACGGACTACAGCTTAATTACATGATCTATAGTTTGTTTATTACTTTGCACTCTGGTGTACCTATTACCTGCCGTCATAGGTAAGAATATCATTGCAGCTAATGATAATGACTCTTGCTATCGTATGAATCAGAAGATAAATAATACAGAACAAAATTAATCAAGTAACAATGCAAATTCGGTAGCAGTTAGAAATTCAAGGGAAGAGGTGAAAATCTGTAATTGGCCAACAAGCTATGCTACAATATCAACAACATTGATAATGGCACTATCAGGTGGCAAACTTATTTGCAATAAACTCACACTATTTATTAGTACACATCTTCGAGTATTCATTAACGTAACTGAAATAGTTTTCTAAACCAAAATTCGTCTGCAAAAACCTACAGAATGCCTAAAACCGGAAAGTTTATTATCAATAGTGCAAAAGAGTATAAAAATCGGAGCATAGATAATAGATCTGAAATTAATATAAACGTGCCGACACTTGCACAACGCCTGGAGTTCAGTATTGCAGTCTTAAATCGACTTCTCATAGGCTTTGTTACTTTTTACATGTGCTGGATGTGCCTGAGGCTAAAAGTGAAAGAAATCCCATTTCATGCATTGTTCTGTACTGTGGGTGTATGTATAATTTTGATTTAAGAAACTACTTTATTTTGAATTATTTTTTAAAAATTTTCTCATTAGTTTGTATTTTTAATGGCTGAGGGTTTGATGGCACATTATCGTAGTAACGCTTGGTCACAGTTATGCTATCGACCAGAGAAAACGCGATTACATTGGATACTACAACTCATTGGGTCAATTGTGGGTATAATAGGCATCGGTATAAAAATATGTCTGGAGAATAAACATTTCTATACAATACATGGAGTATTAGGTGTGTAAGTTAGTGTATATATTTTTATATTTTTTCTATGTTAATTTTTTATATTAAATTGCATTTATATTCTTTTAATATCTTATTATATGTATATACAATTATATTGAATATATAAAAACATAATGTTAATGTATAGATTTTATTTCTATAATCCATATAGAATGTATTTGTTAATTATTTACCTTTACATGCATACTTTTCTGGACATATATATTTATATTTACAAATTTATACCATTTAATTATTATTAACATCTTTTAATGACTAATTTTCTAATACAATATATTCATTTCAATGCATAAAGATAATGATTGTCAGATAAGTTTATTTGAAGGACTCATTTGTACATATATATCAGTCCTTCTAATCTAAAACACCTCAAGATTTATATGCAACTAAGTAAAAATACTATAAGGATCATTACAGAAATTAATTCTGACAAGGTACTGTAGGTTGAATCATCTCCTTACTAAACTGGGAACTTACTCTAATAAAAGTTTTAGGTTTTATAGAGAAGAAAATGAGACCTCAAAACACATGGTAGAAGTACCCAAATGTGCATCTCATATCAGATGAAAAAATAAAAAACTGCAATTTAGGTTCAATACTACAATTTATAAAGGAAGTCGAACTTCAAGAAATAATCCAAGCCCCTTAAGAAAATAGAATAGATCTTTAGGTAATAATGCAACATCCTTAAACATAGTTATATTATTTCAATAAATTACTTGTTCTAAATGTGATTACTTGTGCCATTAATAGTAATAACTTATATTAGAATTTAAACATAAAATTTATTTAGTTTATTATAATATTTTTTATATCCAAAATTATAATTATTTATTTTTTTGTAATATATATAATTTATATAAAATAAGAGGAACATGTTTGCGTGTCAAAAAAAAAATATTTTTGTAAACAATCTCTACATATCTATATCTATAATCTATAAACAATCTAAAATCTATATATATATATATATAAATATATATAATTTCAAATGAATATTAATTTATTGTTATTTTTATAAAAATAATTGCTGTTGTGTTATTATAGTTGTCCCAATAATGTCAAATCCGTTTTAACAGGAAATAGCTATCACTTGAAGTTCTCTGAAGCCCCAAAAAAATTGATAAACCGATGCAATTATTTAAAGAACCATTTTTTCTATAAGTTATAATAAATTTTAAAATTCATAAATCATATAATGAAGAACGTGGAACTAATATTTAATATTAGTTCTACTTAAAAGTAAAAATATAGTAAATTTAAAAATTAAAAGAATCCGTAAATATCTCTAATATAACGCAAAACGTTGTTAAATATATTATCAGGAAATAAAAAGAGTTGATTAGTGGATGATATAAAGAATTTTGTCTACAAATTTTAACCTTTTTTGTACTAGGGTTGATTTACAAATTTGAATAAGTAGTTATATAAACACAAAATATAGTATATTATGCCACATCAGGAATTATAGTTTACGATTTGTAGTTGTTGTAACTTTTTTTGAGAGAAGTAAAAACGGTAGTTGGTTTTCTGGAAAAACAAATGGCAGCAAAACATTAGCTTAGCTATGCACCAGACTGCTATTGTACCTTTTTGAATTAGCATAGTCTGCTCAAAGTAGGTTAATAGACATTTTAGATCACATATTAGGTTCCACTTTGTCATCGCTGCTTATAGTATACATATATTATTTATAAGCTGAATTTAAGAAATTTATTTTTCATTATTGAATTCATTACAAGTTGAGCTTTTAACTTCCGCGTATAGATCGATATTAATTAATATATATAATACATTTTTTACTACTGTCGTCTTTATATATAAATCATTTACACGCTGATTTTTAAAATTACTTTTTTGTACTGACTTATTTAATCTATGTTATAAGTCAATTACAAAAAGAATTTTTTATCTATAGCATATATAATATTATACACTTTATATATATGTATATATATATATTCACTCTATTACCACATATGTTATTATAATTGATGTATCCCTCATATTGCATCTACTATTAATACACGTTATTTTACATTTTATTGTTACTTTGTCTTCTTTAAACTGATTTAAAAATATTAAATTAATTGTCGACTACACGAATTGATTGATTAACATTTTTTTTTTCTTTCCATTCCATTTATAAGAAATAGTCAAGATTCTAGAACTGAATAACCCTGATGAAACCCTGAATAGAGCTTTATACAGAAACATTTATTTAATGAACCTTACCCTAATCTATCTTACAAAACTAACAACTTTATTATATGTTAAATAGGAATATACATATATGCTTTAAATAGCTTAGTAGACTGAAATTTCTAATAGTTATGATGTATGTGAACAGAATTGAAATACATATCTACTTTTAAAAATATTTTAAATTCATTAAAAGAGCTCTTAATATAAAAAAAGAATAAAAATTTGTTGTCTGTTCTAAATATTCCAAAAGAATTATTTTCTCCCGAACAATATATCTACCTATTAAAATTCTTCTATTCTGCATCACTTGAATAATATCTGTTTTCTTCGAAAGTGGGCATAATAAGGAATCAGATTATTGCTAAATTTATTATAGATAGAAATTACCTACCCACCCTACAATAGTGATCTATCCTATAAGCTAGAACTGTCCAGACCAGATACGATCGCGGGCCAGTACAAATCGCAGGTTAGAGGGCCGCAGGAACTAATACATACGTTCATAAATAAAAATAAAAATACGACTATTAATGTTAAATTCAGTTTCATTAATTTATCAATTTAAATTCATTTATTTGGTATATTATAAAAATAAAATAATGTAGTTTTACTAGTACACCAAAAGAAAATTTGCACAATTGTAGTAGATTAAAAACATGTCGCGGGCCGTACTTTGAACAGCCCTGCTATAAGCCATGTGATTACTTGCTTAAACAAAGCGATTGCAATACTAATTTATTTTAAAAATTTTAAAAGAAACTAGTTAAATTAAAATTAATTTAAATAATTGTAATTGTATGTACAATTACATTACATTAAATACAATCCTGAAATATGTATTTTACATTTTCGCCTTTTACTATTTTATATTAAATTACTAAAAATTATATTTTCATACAAAAACCATATAAATAAATGAGTAATGTAACTAAAATATAGATAACTTAACATTGATATCTTTTGTTTCATACAGGATTCATAATATTATGATGTACTAAACAATATCAAAAACAAGAACAGCCCATTTGTTAAATCAAAAACTCGTTAAATCGAATAAATACGTTAAATCGAGTAAATATCTTAAATAAACAACTTTAGCTTTAAGTAGTTAATTTTTTTTTTCGAAAATTATTTTTTAAAGAACATAAGTTAGTTTGATTTTTAATTTTATATACCTCCACGTATAAGTCTTATAAAATCATGATATTGTTGTATCATAATATTGTTGTAATGTATATTATTTTCTTTAGTCATTTGTATAGAAAGTATAAGTATTCCGCAGTATTTTTGCACAGAATTTGAATTATGACAGCTTTCCTTTTATATTCGCTATTCTTCTACAGTATTCAATAGTATTCGATTCTATTCGATCGTGAGGGCTGTCCAAAGTTTGGCCCGCGACATGTTTTTAATCTACTACAATTACGCAAATTTTCTTTTGCTATACTGGTAATGTTATTTCTGGTTTATGTTATTATGTTATATATTACTGGTTTATGTTATTTCTATGCTATACCAAATAAATGAATTTAAATTAAAAAATTTGTTTCTGCGGTCCTCCAATCTGTACAGTGATTTGTATTGGAGCGCGATCGCATCTGGTTTGAACAGCCCTATTCTATATAATGATTTATACATCTATTATGTCGCACGTTCAATGATACTAATTTGTCATTCATTGAATAGAGTATTCACTATTGTTGAAGACGTCTTATTTGCTCTATAGGTGAGCGCATTAGAATAATGCCGCAATGCCGTTTACCAAAAACAATTTTTTTTTCAAATTTATTTGATCCCAATTATTATTTATTTAATTTAAAACTTTTTTTAATTTTTTCTAATAAATTCCATATTTTTTTTTTTTTCATAGGTTTAGTGACTTTAATTTTATGCTTAGTTAGTCTCGCTAGCGGACTAAGCTCTTTATACGCTAATGAACTGAAGCAACGCCTACAGCCAATAATCAATAAAGCAGTCCATAATGCACTGGGTTTATGCACCTTCACATTGGCCATGTTAAGCATGTACTACTCATTCGAGACCGAAATATTTATGGATTATTCATTAGACGCAGCGAATTATATGGATTTTCGCTTACTTATGCAAATCATGATTTGCTTAATACTGATCTTAAGCAGTTATGGACCACTGTGGTGTTTTCTATATAGTAAAATATGGAAATGTTGCTAAAAGAATATGGACGAATTATTATTTTAATTATATTTTTAATTTTTAATAAAAATAAAAACATTTTTTTATTTAAGAGTTTGCTTTAAATGTGCAATGGATTTTTATTATTTTGTGTTCATTTATAAATAATACTTTTTGCATGTGTATGAGAGAATAAATATTACTTAAAAATTGCATACTTAATTATTAAAATTTTCTTAAATAATACATAAAAGAATAAAAATATTCAATCTCAATATAAGTCAAATATAGTTAAGATTAGGTTTTGTTTTTTTATTTATGTAAAAAATTTTTCTTTCAATAAATAACTATATTTTAAAGCATTTAAAGGCATCTGATTTTTAAGTCATGTATAGTTCATTTTCTTAGTTTATATGTATAATGTGCATTTTGATTTAATTTTTATTTTATTTTTTTTTTATATTTATATCACTAATATTTTGAGTTTGTTTATAGTAGCGTTTACAAATTAAAATTGGAATAGTGCTAGTTAATTAAAGACTTATGTTTAAATAATAAGGTTTACACTTATTTTAAGCATTTGCGGAGATAAACAGAGAAGCTCTTATAAATGGATCACTCAACTGTAACACTGTACCTAGTCTCCACAGTCTCCAGTTTTCATTTTTCATACAAAGTATATTCTTTTAAATGACAGAATTAATGGCTTCTTCGGTATCCGTTTAAGAGAGCTTTCACTGTATATGTTAATTTATGAACAAATAATTTATTTTATTTTTATTTCTATTTTTGTTTGAATAGTATTAATAAATCAAGCGGATTTATTTAAATTGATTAATTGCAGTTATTTCTTTAAAAGTAGTTTTTATAATATTCAAGATTTGAAGTTCTTAATAATTTGAATAATTGCAGTTATTTCAAAAAGTAGAATTTAATTCATATTTAATTATATAGTTATATAGTTTAACAGTTATTTAATTTTTTTGTATTTGCACAAATATGATGTTTTAATTATCAATTTAATTAAAAGTAAATTCTTAAGCAAAAGAGAAAAGTTTATTATTCTTAGTCATAATATTGTGCAGTTCTAATTATTAATACTTTCACAAGTTTTTTAAAAACGATTATAGAGAAAATATCTATTATTCTTAGTCAAAGTGCTTAATTCTTTATTTTTCTAAAAGTGCTTTAGAAATCATTTGGTTTGTTTTATGTTTTCTATTAAATTTAAATTAAAATTAGTTAATAACATCTCAAGATTTCAAGTTTTATAATTAATTTTTATAATTTATTTATGTGAGCGAACGAAATTAAAAACTATTAGCTACTTTTTATTTATAATTTATTTTATATAGTTATTATCTATGTAAATATCGCAAATGTGTTCAAAACTTCCTCAGAGCTGAATATTGTTATAACTTGAAAACGTTGATGATATTTATATAGAAAACTATATTAAATAAATTCTAAAATTAATTAAATTATAAATAAAAAATAGTTAATAGTTTTTATATCGATTCATATATGTTTTCAACATAAATATTATTAATATAGCAGAATCGAATCTATTTTTATTTAATAAATAATTTTTGTTTAAGTTTATTTAATTAAATAAAAAAAATATACTGTCGTTTTTGAATATTATTAAAATAGTGAACTCGGAACTATTCTTGTTTAATAAATTATTTTTGTTTAAGTTTATTTAATTAAATAAAAAAAATATACTATCGTTTTTGAATATTATTAAAATAGTGAACTCGGAACTATTCTTGTTTAATAAAATATTTTCGTTATAGTTTATTTAATTAAATAAATTAAAATATACTGTCAGTTTTAAATATTATTAATATGATGAACTCGGAACTATTCCTATTTAATAAATTATTTTCGTTATAGTTTATTTAATTAAATAAATTAAAATATACTGTTAGTTTTAAATATTATTAATATATCGAACTCGGAACTATTCCTATTTAATAAATTATTTTCGTTTTAGATTATTTAATTAAAAAAATTAGAATATACTGTCACTTTTAAATATTAATAAAATGGTGAACTCGGAACTATTTTTATTTAATAAATTATTTTCGTTTTAGATTATTTAAAATATACTGTCACTTTTAAATATTATTAATATGATGAACTCGGGGAACTAATCCTATTTAATAAATTATTTTCGTTATATATTTAATTAAATAAATCAAAATATACTGTCACTTTTAAATATTATTAATATAGCGAAATCGGAACTATTCTTATTTAATAAATTTTATTCGTTTTAGATTATTTAATTAAATAAATTAAAATATACTGTCAGTTTTAAATATTATTAATATATCGGACTCGGAACTATTTTTATTTAATAAATTATTTTCGTTTAAGATTATTTAATTAAATAAATTAAAATATACTGTCGTTTTTGAATATTATAACTTGATATTCTAACATTTTTTTTCAAATTTATTTATTTTAGATTATTTGAAATAATTATTTTTTTGGTTTAAAGTACTTTTTTATATTATAGAGCACAAAGCGTCGATAAGTGTAAACCTTCTACATTTTTTATTTAGATTTCATTAACACAGACTAAAAGCTACCCAGTTTTTTAACCAATTATAAAAGATATTTAAAGTATTTTTCAGCGTTATAACAAAAAGATTCTTTTAAATTCACTGCTGTGTTTAACAATATACTTAGAATTAAAGTTTCGTAGAACGCTTTATAGCAAATGATATTGGTAATGTTGCAATATATTGCCTTAAATTCGAATTATGATACTTTTCAGTATCTGGCAATAAACTGGAATAATACATATTCGTATCTAGATCGGCATTAGCAGCATCACAACAACGACTCTCTTTACATAATTGGCAAGTATCATCCTCGTATTCATATTCGAAAACCTTGGTCTTTTGATCGTATCGCAAATATAACGTCAAACATATGAAGAGCATAAACAACAATGCACATGTAGCACCACTTGCAATGCTGGCTTTTTCGAGTAAAGGTCGTGGACGTTTCGGCAAGTAAGAGCCATCAAGTTCCTTATATTCACAACGTGGTCCCATGAAACCAATTGCACACTCACAATTGTACATAATGGATTGACCTATTTTTACAGAAAAGCAAGTGGCATCATTTAGGCAATACCAGGCATCGTACGTGGCCGGACATTTATAAGTCGGAAACGATATATTCGGACGTGCCGTTGTTGGTCTTAGCGTTGTAGTTGTTGGTGCAGCAGTTGTTGTTGATGTGGTTGATATTATGGTTGAAGATGAAGTCGATGGACGCGGTTTTGGTACTGCACGACTCGAACATCCCTCCGTAAAATAGTGAGGTGTTGAGGTAAATGCGCAAATCAATGCAAAAATTACAATGAGTTTGTGTTTTAAAGTTTTCAAATTCTTGAACATTTTAATAAAATTTTTTTATAATTTTATTTGGAATGAATTCTAATACTGAGAATAATAGTGAGAAAATGAATCTAGTTTGTGCTTAATAAAAAAAAATCTGAGTATAATCTTTGATATATTAAAAGCTAGTGAATTCTACATGCATTTGCCTGCCGATTGGCGCAGTTTATATGTAGAAAATTTTCTTCATTACAGCTTTATATTTTTGGTATTGTATTTCCGTAATTATTTGGTTTACAAAAGTGTTTCTTTAGATATTGTTAAAATTCTTAAACATAATTGAACAAATTCTTTAAAATCAATATATTACTAATAATTAAATATTGAATATCACAAAAAGTAAATGATAGCATTGACAATATTACACAATGGTGTTACATATATTTAAATTGTTAAAAATCAAATTATACAAAAAATATTTTCACATTTTAAAAATTCCGAAAAAAACTAATTATAGAACATGGTAAAAAAAAACAGTTTCAAACATATAAACGTTTTTGGAATTGTTAAATATAATAAATAAATAATTAACTAATAATAAAATTAATTGCTAAAGAATGTGTTGCAGTAATTTTTAGAAGAGTGTATTTTATGCTTTAATATCTTTATCCATGAAATTCGGGCTTTAATATCCAAATATCGTTTCAGTTTTTTTTGCTATATTGTAATCGCATTTCCTTCTCCGGATTTTTTATCTATAATTCCAGCGTACTTCCTGTGAAAAAAAGAAAAATATAAACAGTAATCAGTTATTATATTAAAATATTAATTCATTTATATATGCCTCAAATTTATTTACACAAAAAATGTGAAATTTAAATTAAAAAATCAAAATTCAACAACACTAAACCGAGAAATTATTGGAAAACGTTAGCGGATATTATTGCTTACGGCAAACAGTTTAACTATAAATTAAGCAAATAGCAATAAATGCTTATAAAAATTTATTTAAAAATAATACTTATTTAAAATAACATTCGTATATATACTATGTGTATACATAGTCAATGGCTTAAGCTTAGAAACAATTTTTGTAAATATAATTTATTCCTAAATAAAAAATACGCTAACTTATTAAATATTATGTATGTATTTACCAATATATATTAAAAATTAAAGAGGTTTTTTTTTCAAAATGTAATGAACTACACAAACATTTATTTATTATTCATTTTTATATTATTTTAAATCATTTACTTTTTGACTGACCATTCATGCAGCTGATTCGAGTATTGTCAAATACCCATCACATCCAGTGGTCTTAGAAATAATTATTGTATTTAATTATTCGTAAATAATTTTTTTTTTTTGAGACTGCAAGTACCAGATATCGAACTCGGGCCCTGCTAAATTTTAAGCTCAAAGTCAGTGCTCCTTAATCAACTGATTCAAAGCACATTTTTGCACATTTTTCTGGAGTTTTGTTTTGTTGTTGTGAAAGTTTTATTAACAAATTCACTTGCTGTGTTATATTATAATAAAATCATAAACCAGCTGTAGAATAATTAATAGAATAATTTAATTGTTAAATTTCAATAACTATTTTGTTTGTAGAGGCATTATTTGTTGCATGATTTATATATTCCTTCTTATCTATAGAACCTAATCTAGAAACATAATACTGAGAAAGTTAGTTCACTACTTTTCGGAAAAAAAACTCTTTATGAAATATACTAGTTTCTATTATATACAATAGTCACTTCCGTCTGAAAAATTGACGTTAAATACCAACTTATTAAAAATTATTTAAATTACATTTGTTTTTTTTATAAACTTTGAAAAAAAATTATATTTAATTTAATTTTTATATTTTTAAAAATTTTTTTTAATTTTACATACATACAACATACACTTTAAATAAAATATTTCAGACATGTTGCTTTTTACTTTATTTTATATTTAAATTGTAATATGCTTTAGTTTCTTATAATGTTTTGGATATAAAATTATTATTTCTTATATCATTTAATTGTAAGCATTTAAAACTACTTTAAATGATTTTTTAATAGCTTTTTATTATTATTATTTTGTTTTTATAATTTGTAATATAATTTTTTTATATTATTAATGACATATTAATTATAACCATTTTTTTATTATTATTTCGTTATATTACATTATTTTTTTATTGTATTTTTTTTTTAATAACACAATGTTATATATTTTAATATATATATTTATTTTTATATATTTTTTTATTTTTGCATATTTTAAAATATTTTAATTTTTTATTTTTACATATTTTTTTATTTTTGCATATTTTTAAATATTTTAATTTTTTATTTTTATATATTTTTTTATTTTTCCATATTTTTAATTATTTTAATTTTTTATTTTTGTGTTGTTTTATTTTTATTTTATTTCCTTTATTTGTTTTACTTTTAATATTCATTTTATTTTTTTATTTACATCATTTTTTATTTATTTTATTTTGTTGTTTATTATATATTGTTTTTATATTATGTATTATTTAATTTTTTTAATATATTTACTATAAATGTTTTATATTTTGTTATTTCTTATATTTTTGCATATGTCATATTTTTACGTACATTTTTTACATGTAATATATATTAATACTTACAAGACTGCTCTTATCGTTTTTGATTGCAATGTTTTCTTATACATTATGATATTCTATTACATATAAATTTTTATTACATTTCTATTTTCGCAATCTATTTTCAATCATATAACATGTGTACTATATTTTTTTACATACATAAATATATAGAAATGTAAAACATAACAATATTATCATGTAATTATGATATATTTCAATATATATTGTTGTAAATATTAATTGTATATATTTAGGTAAATGTTTTAAAAAATAATTAATTTAAAATGTATTCTTAAAAAAATTAATAAACATATTTTATAATTATTTTTATATAATTTATTATAAAATATAGTAATCATTGCATCATAGTTTAGGTCATTGTTTCGTTTATTATTCACCTTCGTATCTTATAAATTTCAGCTGCTTTTTTTGGATTCCTGATTTGTTCAGATCGGATAACATCTATATTTTACATCCATCACTCTTGCGAACGACCTCTTCTCTCTTACCTCAACTCTTTTTTGCGGTACGTAACTTTTTCGTAGGTTTTTCATTATTAAATCTTGTGACGTATCCAACGTATCTCTTGTTTTAACACATTTAAGACATTTTCCTACTAACGTGGTTTTAATAACAAATTTCTGTTTATGTATATATAGTAAACAATGTATAAAAAATACGTAAAATATAATTACTTCGCGTTCACTCCAACTAAACTTATACAGTTATGCGAATAAAAAAGCAAAGCTATATATCTCGTCGAAAAAGCTAATCCAATATTTTGTCGATATTATTATCGTCAGCTATATTACATCGGGTACTATCATTGAGTTGTTGTTATATGCTCATGTTAAATAGTTCGCTTAGTTGAGTTCGGTTAATGAAGATAGCTGGCATTTTGAACGTCGCGATTATAACCATGTTTTGGTTGTAAGAAAGCTCCAGTTTGTTAAGAGAACTTGAGGTTCAAAATTTTTAGTTTTATATTGTGTTTTTTTAGATTAAAAACTTTATTGTAACATCTTGTTTATTACAAAAAATATATTTTCAAATGTTTACAAAAAATTTATAAGTTAACATTTATTGAATTTGATATTTAAATTAACTTAAATAAATAACATTGATATAAATTTACATTATTTACACTTTAAAAGCACGAAGAAGAAATATATTTTTAAATCACATTTCGGTAAACTACAGATATAGATTACAATATATATATATTATTATTATAGAAAACTTTATACAAGTTTTTAATATTTTAAATTAGAAAAAATGTTTAAATCTAGATAGTTCATTTTATAATCACAATAAATAAAAAAAAAAAAAAAAATAGTGACATACTATACTTATTCGATAATTGACACTTAAAATAAAAATCCGTGTCTACAAAAGTTATCAGCTTGAATAGGATAGTATATTATTTAGCCAAGACAAGCTTATTTCCATTTCTTCAAATTATTGTAATTGTGCTATAGCGAGTTCAACACTAAGTTTTGAATTTTAATTTTGTTATATAAAAAGTTTATTATAATAGAATTTCGTTTCGGATTTATCTAATTTTATTTTATATTTTTATTATATACCGAAAACAATTGTATCCACTATCGTTTTTCTATGAGTATAAAAGAAATTTAAAAATTTATTATATAAAATAGTAAATTATAATAAAATTATAATATAAAAAAAAATAAGCAAAGTATTTATTTAACGGACGTCGACATATAAAAAAGTAATTTCTCTATTCTACTACTTTCTAGCTAATAGCAGAGAAGTAAAGAAGTATTTGAAATTTTCTATTAAATTTGCACGAATTGATAATTAAATAGATTTATACTTTATTTTCAAATATATTTTATAGTTCAACTAATCAACGGTATTTTCTATATAAGAACTTTTTTGTATAAATCTGAAGATGCCAATAATATATAAATTAAATCCCCTCAAATCTTACGTCAACTAATAATTAATGTTTTGAGCATTGCGATATTCGAGTATAATTGTGTTCAAAAGATTTGGCTTGAGTCAATCCATCGGGCTGCCCGAAAATATATAAACATCATATTGTATAAAAAAAATAATTCGAACACCTCTCCATCATTTTCGAACATCTATATTGTTCATTACTGGAACTGTACGAATATAATGTTCGAACATTTTAAAGCACTAATATATTTATATATATTATCGTAATATCAGTATTATGAATTTTTTCAAACCTATATAAAATACCAAACAGTACAGAATCAAAGATAAAATAATAACCAGATTTTAAGCTGATTTGTTCAAATAAATTTGTTATATTAATAATTAAACTTAATGATATATATAATAAAAAATTGATTTTGTTGTTTTAGTATAGGTTAACTATAACATATTTTAATTGAATATGACTGAAGAACGTTAAGTGAGTGGTAACAGTATAAACAATTGTGGTATTCACGATCTCGGTAATCGAGTCACATGTTAATTGTGCACAGTAATACTGTTAAGTGCCAACATATCAAAATACATGTACAATACATGAAATATATTGTATTGTTGTTACTATATAACTCGATTACAGAGCACTCTTAATACAGTAATCCCTCCTTTAAGGCGGTAGATTGGTTCCGCGTTATAGGAGTAATACCCGTATACCACGTATACACACGTGCAAAGGTACGCGAAGCTTATTATGAACTGTACAAATCCCTGCGTTATATGGGGGAATGCCCTTGTTATACGGGGGATCAAAATCGCGTTATACGAACACCCGTTATAAGGATTATTATAGGGAGGGGGATGCATTATAGGGAGGGGGATTACTGTATATATTATGTAGAAAAACTATTATATAGATCTGCACTTTATAGTAAAAAAATAAAAAATGTCTTCAACCAAAATTTTGGTGAGCACGTCATCTAGCTTCTCGTCAACATGTTGTGAATGATAATCTGTCACCCAAGAACTTACATTCGTCATTCAAGAGCATATTTTTGCATTATTGCACTTAGACACTTACAACGTGCGAAAAACATTTACAGCATACGCAAACACCCTTATTCTTCAAAAATTTTGCTTGAATAACAACTCTTGAATGTGAGCAATGTTCAAGTTTAGTTGCTAAAATAAATTTGAGCAGGAGAGAGCGCAAATTGAATTACATTCAA